GATTCAGTGGATCTGGGGTGGAGCCCCCCCAGTCTCCTTTTGCAACAAGTGCCCAGATGATGAGGGGCTGGGGGCTGCATGGACCACACCGTGAGCGCCACTGGACCAGAAGATAGCCTCTGGACTGCGGCAGTTCAGCCTGCCCTTTACCTGGTAAGCTTCCAGATACACCCCATCAGGGCTGCTTCAGGGTGAGAATCCAGGTAGCCTTGAAGGCTGTGCTCAGTACTTTGGACTTTGCTTTGAGCAAGATAGGAAGCCTTGCAGAGACTGTCAGCAAGAGGTGAGGCAAGCAAGCTGCCTGTGATGGTTTGTAGGGAGTGAGCCTGGAAGCAGGGAGGTTACAGAGGGGAGTGGGGGACCTGGCACGGGGAGCCACGGAAAGATGGAGAATTGGCAGATCAAGAGCTTCAGGGGGACCAGGAGAGACAGGAGTTGGTGGTGGTTGTTTGTGAATATTGAAAGATGACGAAGGAGGGTGTGGGAGACACTGGGATTCCTGGCTTGAGGGTTAGGGAGCTGAGGGGCCATTCCTGAGATCAGAGGCATTGGGGAGGGGGCTGGTAAGGTATTCAGTCAGTCATGGGTGCCTCCTTCAAACTCAGCAGCCTTTATTACCTTGGGCTGTGTGGCCATTCCCCTCTGACCCCTGTTCTGGTTGCCCTGGAGGGTCCACTGTTGATCCTCTAGAACCTTCCAGGGCTCAGTGTGAAGACTGCCATTCTGGCCTGAGGAGTCCGTCCTGCAACACAGCTTCCCAGGAAACAAGCCTCATCCAGCTCACACAACCAAAAAAGGACATTTTCTCAGTTTGAAGGTTTGCCCAGTCTTTTCCCTCCTCCCCAACCCAACCTGGGGTTTCAGGTTTCCAGGGAAGTGTCTCTGAAAATTTAGATCTTTGAGTCACACATGCCCATGTACAGGCAAATGTGTGTCTGGGGTTCTGCATGTACTACATTTTTTCTTTTTTTTAGTTTTTAATTGAAGTGTAGTTGATTTGCAATATCATGTAAATTTCAGATGTGCAACCCAGTGTGTGTATACCCCTTTTATATACCAGATATATGTGTGTGTATACCCCTTTTCAGATTCTTGCCCCTTACAGGTTATTACATCATATTGAATATAGTTTCCTGTGCTATACAGTAGGCCCTTGTTGGTTCCACACTTGGTTTCAGTATAACAAATGTTATCTTTCTCCTTTTTCTCCTCCTCCAACACCCTCATCAACACCATCATCATCACCACCACCATCATCGCCATCACTCAGCCCCATCCTGGGCTAAACACTTTCCTATGTTGCTTCTCAGCCATTTTCACAGCAACTCCAAGAGGGGAGAATTATCCTACAGACGTTGAAACTGAGGCACAGAGACAAAGCCTTTCACCCAAGGTCCTAGAGTCCTTGTACGGTTGGGACTAAGGGGAGGCGAGTGAGCTGAGTCTTACAAGTGCAGGGGTCTGGATCTGGACTCTATTGACATTTTTTTCATAGCTTGTTCATTAAGGATTATTGCTGCATTAATTTTGACTTTAAAAAATATTGCATTCAAGTACTATTTATCCGGATTATTGAGTTTTTTTGGTCAGCCCCCTAAATTTTGAGCCTGAGGTGAGTGCCTCATTTGCACCCTAGCCCCAGCCATGGCCGAGCCAAAATTAGAGTCCAGGGCTGCTGATTCCAAAACCATGCTCCTTATTTTCTACACTGCCCCCTTGTCCATGTATGTATGCATGCATTCTTTTATGTATTCTTTCATTCAGTATAATACTGTTTTCTTCAGTAAACATTACTGTGGCAGTGGAGAGGGCAGGGGCTTAGAAACCAGACAGTTCTGGGTTTGAACTCCACTACTTATTATTAGTTTGGCTGTGCTGGGTCTCTGGTTGTGGTGCATGGGATTCTCCTTGCGGTGAGTGGGGCTTCTCTTGTAGACCACAGACTCTAGAGCCTCCAGGGCTCAGTAGTTCCTGTGTGTGGGCTTAGTTGCCCAGCAGCATATGGAATCTTAGTTCCCCAACCAGGGATAGAACCCATGTCCCCTGCATTGGAAGGCAGAGTCTTAATCACTGGACCACCAGGGAAGTCCCCCACTACTTATTATTGAGTGGAAGGACAACCTGTGACAAAAGGCCCAGACTCTAGACTCAAGAAAGCCTTTGTTTGAAACCTTGCTTTCACTTGCTGGTTGGATAAGTTTAGGTGGGCTCCTTAAGCCTTCTCATGCCTTGGATTTCTCCTCTGTAAATAGGGATGGTGATGATAACATTGGCCACAAAGAGTTACCGGGAAAATTAAATAGATTAGTTTCTATAAAGCTCTTGGCATGTTGTAAATGCTTTGTAAATGTCAGCTGTTACTTGGCATCCTTGAGTAAGGTATTACTCTGAGTTTCCCTACCTGTGGAGTAGAGTCAGTGAAAGCTACCTCCCAGGCAGTTTTGAGGCTTGCAAGGCATAATGTAGGCAAAAGACTTGGCACCTGGAGGGAGCTTAGTAAACTTTGTCTCTAGATGGGGCTTAATTCCATGCTGGAGACACATGCAGATCAAATCCCCAAGGAAGTGACTCATCTGCCCATGGGGACACTGATTGGACCTTTCAGTTCCCCAAAGGCATGAAGCTCGTACCCCCTTTCAGGACCTTTGCACATGCTCTTCCCTCTGCCTGGCTCACTGTCCCCGCCTCACTGCTGATGGGCCAATGGATATGTCAGTCTCAGGTCTCAGCTGTCACATCCTTGAGGAAACCTTGCCTGATCCCGCCCTCCACCACAGATCTACATCAAGTCCTCCTGTTGGACGTTTTCATCGCGTTCTGTCCTCTTCCTTTATGGCATTTCTCTATGATTCTGCTGTGCTTAATCGCTCGGTCATGTCCGACTTTGCGACCCTACAGACTGTGGCCCTGCAGGCTCCTCTGTCGGTGGGATTCTCCAGGCAAGAATATTGGAGTGGGTTGCCGTGCCCTCCTTCAGGGAATCTTCCTGACCCAGGGATCAAACCTCGGTCTCTTGCATTGCAGGCAGATTCTTTACCGTCTGAGCCGCCAGGGAAGCCCAAGCATACTGCAATGGGTGGCCTATCCTTTCTCCAGGGGAACTTTGGGACCCAGGAGTTGAACAGGGGTCAGTCTCTTGCATTGCATGTGGATTCTTTACCAGGACTACCAGGGAAGCCCTTTTATTTGATTACATTATGTTAAATAATTTTGGTTGTTTGTGTCCAGCCCATCCTCTTCTTTTGAAAAGCATTTGTCTTGTCCCTAGGAATCTCGGCTCCTGGCCAACCATGGCACACACTTCAGAGCAGCACAGGGTCTGGAATCATCTTGCCTGGGTTCAAAATCCCAGTTCCTGCACTTAGAGACTCTGTGACCTTGGGCAAGTTACCTACCCTGCCTGTGCCTCAGTTTCCTTTTCTGTAAAATAGGGACAATAATAACACCAGCTTCCTAAGGCATCATGATGATTACATGAGATAATTAATTTCTTTACAATGAAGCCCATTGGTTATTGGGGCTGTTAATATTTTTGCAGATGCTTTTCCTAGTCAGGTTAGATTAACAGCTTAAATAAACATCCCCCAAATTTCAGGCGCTGAACGCAGTAGACATTTAAGGCTTGCTGAGTTTAATGTTTAAATTTAATGCTCAAATGTTCCACATTTAATATGGGACTGTGAGGGAGGTGGGCTTTGCTCTATGCAATAATCATTTGTGGACCCAAGTTCCTTCCAGCGTGTTTCTTGACCCTGGGGTCCACAGGGGAGTTCTGTGGATGGAATTCAGCTTGTCTGTGAATCTGGATGCTGCCTTAGGTTAGATTCCCTAGAAGCTGAGTCTGAGATGAGGATTCTTGCTTGGGCAATTTATGGAGCAAGTGCTCTCAGACGCGAGGGGGAGGGAGAGAGGCAGAATGGGACACAGAAGAAGACAAGCAGCGATGTGTTCTGGAGTTCTGCTTCAGCCTCATCCCGTGGTGGGGCTTCGGAGCCTGAGTTGTACCTCAGGACTTGGTTCCTTCTGGGGCAAGAAGGGGCTGGCTGGGGTCAGTAGTCATTGGTTATAGGCTCCCTGGGTTGGGGAGGGGTATGGACCTTTGGAACAAGGTGGCTTCTATTGGTTGCAGTTCTCTGAGAGAGCAGTGAGCCATCAGCAGTCATTCGGCAGCTAAGGGTGGGTCCTAGTGAAGGGATCTTCACGGAAAACCACATCTCTATTTTTACTAACGTGTAACTGAAATTTAGCATTTTCTTCAACTATAGAAGTCAGCGATAAATCACAGTAGTATTAGCAGCATCTCTGACTTTGTCACTCATAGGAATCACATATATTTTCATGCCACATTCCTGTTGTTGCATGTATCCTTGAAATATCCTTTATGCTAATTTATACTTTTAAATTATGGTGGTCAATAGGCCTGCTGAATATTTTGTCTAATGTGTAAAGAAGAATATACATTGTTATATTACAGATTTATCCCTTTAAATATTCTGGTAACAGTATGTCAGTGTAATTGCATCTCTTTGTAATCCTATGTAATTTATGCATTTTAAAACAGTATACCAAGAAAGGGTCCACAGGTGTTACCAGATTGAAAAGATCTGTGATACAAATGAGGTTAAGTCCCCTGTTCTGGGGACTTGGCTTCTGCATTTACCAGCAACAGGAGAGAAGAGAGAGGACACTGTGGATTGCAGGACAGGTTTTTGTGGACCATAACTGGAAATGGCATCCTGTCTTCCCACAATGCTTTAGCCAGTCACCTGACCACACCTAACCCCAGGGAGGCTGGAAAATGTAGTCTGTCTGTGTGCCCTGAGAGAAAAGGAAATGGTCTGGGGAACGCACAATAGCCTGGACCACAGGGCTTAATAAATATTGACAACCCAAATGAACAAAAGTGTTGTCCAGGGTGTCTCTTTGTGGGTTGGGGAGGAAAGGCAGAGAGGGTTGGTTCTCTGGAGGGATCCTAAGAGTCTACCATGTCGTCTTCTTAGGACAAGCCACGCCAAGGCCAAAGCTGAGGCAGCAGAACAGGCTGCCCTGGCTGCCAACCAAGAGTCCAACATTGCCCGCACTTTGGCCAGGGAGCTGGCTCCAGACTTCTACCAGCCAGGTAGGGCCAGCCAAGGAGGGGACTGGCCCGGATGGGGTGGGGGAGGAGTTGGGGTGGGCCGTGGGGTCGGGGTGGAGAGGTGGACCCTTTTCCTTTGCTTGGTGGAAAGCTGAGATGCTCGGGTGGGTCCACACATGCCTGTGAGCATCTGTGGGGTGTGGTGCAGGCATGGGATGGGATGAGTCAAGGGGACTCAGGCTGAGATTGGGGTGGTAATATCAGAGGCTCCCCCAACTGCAGCCTGTCTCTTCTCTCTGGGAAATGAGGCTGCAGAGTGAGAAGGACCTCCTGGCTCTGATCCAGACTTTGCCCTTGTATAGAGTGGTGGGAGCCAATCAGTGGGCGACTGGTGCGCTCCACGTTGAAGGGTTTTTGAGGAGACCTAAGGGAGGTTAGTGTAGAAGGCAATGGCACCCCACTCCAGTACTCTTGCCTGGAAAGTCCCATGGACGGAGGAGCCTGATAGGCTGCGGTCCATGGGATCGCTTGAGTCGGACACGACTGAGCGACTTCACTTTCACTTTTCACTTTCATGCATTGGAGAAGGAAATGGCAACTCACTCCAATGTTCCTGCCTGGAGAATCCCAGGGACGGGGGAGCCTACTGGGCTGCCTCTATGGGGTCGCACAGAGTCGGACACGACTGAAGCGACTTAGCAGCAGCAGCAGCAGCAGCAAGGGAGGCTAGATGCAAGACCTGAGTGCAGATCTCTGCCTGGCAAGAGTCGCGCATCCCATCACAGTGCGCCCCTTGCTGGTCCCAGGAAGAGTGACGCTGGCTGGCAGCCTCCACCTTGGTTGGTCATAGCAACAGCTGTCACCACGTTTCAGGTTCTGCGCTCAGCATTTTACAGGCATTTTTTTTCCTATCCGATTGATCCTTCAGTTAGTATTTATGAAATAGATATGATTAGGCCCGTTTTTCAGATAAGAGAATGGAAAGAGGCCGGTGTGACCATAAAGAGCATAAACTCTGGAGCCAGACTTAGCCTGGGTGCCAGCCCCGGCTCTGCTCTTGGTCAGCTGGGTGACTTTGGGCAAGGCATTTTATGTCTCTGAGCCTCCTTTTCTTCATCTGTGCAGTGGAGGCTAAATAATAGCATCCACCTCATAGGGTTATTCAAAGGAGTAAATGAGTTAGTATTGGGGAATGAATGGCTTAAGAAACAGTGCTTTTGGCACCTGATGGCGGCAGGTCAGTGCTGGCTGAGTACGTCCACGAGACTCAGCGGGGTTGGAGCGGCTTGCCCAGGGTCACCCGGTGCGGGGACCTGGCTTCGAATCCCGCCTCCCCGTGTGGTCCCCTGGCAGGTCCGGAGTATCAGAAGCGCCGGCTGCTCCAGGAGATCCTGGAGAATTCGGAGAGCCTGCTGGATTCCCCCGACCGGGGCCCCAGCGCCCCGGGCCTCCCGGAACGGCTCCGCGAGAGCCCGGAGCTGCACGAACGGGAGACCCCGGCGCCCGAGGGTGGCCCCCCGTCGCCGGCCGGGACGCCGCCGCAGCCCAAGCGGCCCCGCCCGGCCGCGGCGTCCAAGGACGGCCTGCTGAGCCCGGGCGCCTGGAACGGTGAACCCGGCGGCGGCGGCGAGGGCAGCCGGCCGGTCACGCCGTCGGACGGCGCGGGTCGCCGCAGCCCCGCCCGGCCGGCCAGCGAACGCATGGCCATCGAGGCGCTGCAGGCGCCGCCCGCGCGGCCGGAGGAGCCGGAGGTGGCGCTGTACCAGGGCTACCACAGCTACGCCGTGCGCACCGCGCCAACCGCGCCGCCGCCCTTGGAGGACGAGCCCGAGGCCCCCGCCGCCGACTCCGCGCCCCCGTCCCCGGCCGCCGCCGCCGCGCCCGGGACGGCGCCCCCGCCCCGAAGCCCCGCGCAGGCGCCCGAGAGCCCCGCCAAGCTGGAGCCCAAGCCCATCGTGCCCAAGGCCGAGCCCAAGGTCAGGGCCCGCAAGACGGAGGCTCGAGGGCTGACCAAGGCTGGGGCCAAGAAGAAGGCTCGGAAGGAGGCCGCGGTGGCGGCCGAGGTCGAGGTGGAGGAGGTGAGGCTGCTGGTGGAAGTGGGGAGTGGAGGGGGAGCCGGAGGTGTGATTCGGGGGGCAGATGACCGGGGGGCCAGGGTGATAGTACAGTGCAGGGCTTAGTTAGGTGCAGCCTGACCCAGGGTTACCGGGCAGAGTGCCGCCACTGCAGGGGCAGGGGCTGGCCTCTGTACTGTTGTCTGAGCGCTCGTTTGGAGGAGGCGACTGGGAGTCCCAAGCAGCTAGGCTGTGGGGCGCCCCGGTTTATGGGGGATCTAGGCTGAGCTCCAATAGCCTCTACACGGTGTAGCAGGGAGGGCTTTGGGGGATGGAGGAGCGGCCCAGTAGAGGGGTGGGTCCTGGCCCTCTGGCCTTGCTATGGGAGCCGGGGGCTACAGTGCCAAAGACTGAAGCTGGCTCAGAGGACTGAGGGATGCAGCCCCAGAGGAATTAGCAGTGGGCACGGCTGAGTTCTTGGATTCCAGTCCCAGCTCTGCCAGCTGTGTGCCCTGGGATACGTTCTCGATCCTCTCTGGACCCTATGCAATTTGGTTGATTATTTCCTCCAAGAATCTTTCCAGCTCGGATGGTCTGTCCGGGTGCTGGACACCGCGGAGGGTCGGGGTCGGGGAGTGTGTTCTCCTGGGGACTCAGGCAGCCTCTTCCCGCTGTTCCCAGGTCCCCAACACCGTCCTCATCTGCATGGTGATCCTGCTGAACATCGGCCTGGCCATCCTCTTCGTTCACCTCCTGACCTGACCTCGTCCCCCAGGTGCGGCCGGGAGGAGGGGACGGCAGTCTCAGGGGAGGAGAGGAAGGGCCTGCTGGGCCACCGTCCTGTGGTTAATTCAGGCCCATCCCCCAGCAGGGGCAGGGACCTAGAGTGTGGATTTGAGAGATCATGTCTCCCCAACACACACACACACACACACACGCACTCAACGCACTCGTTGACTCAACATGTGCAGAACACTGGCTCTCTGTCAGGTGAACACTGGGTGCTTCATTCATTCATTCACTAACTCATCATTCATTTGTTGTGGTTGTTGTTTAGTCCCTAAGTCGTGTCCAACTCTTTTGCGACACCACAGACTGTAGCCCACCAGGCGCCTCTATCCATGGGATTTCCCAGGCAAGAGTACTGGAGTGGCTCTTTCCTGGAGTACTGGAGAAGCCATTTCCTTCTCCAGCGGATCTTCCCTACCCAGGGATCGAACCTGCGTCTCCTGCATTGGCAGGTGGATTCTTTACCACTGAACCACCTGGGAAGCCCATTTAACCACCCTTTACTGAGCACCTGCTCTGCTGGGAATAGGGATACAGCAGGGACACATTCCTGCCCTAAGAAATGAGGTGAACATGAGAGTAAGCCTTTAACTTATGGCTCATTATGTAAAAGTCTTGCAGTTTAAACATTAAGCAAAATAGTTCCTGACTCCCTCCCCACAGAGCCCCGGAAGTCTAGACTGAGGTCGGCTGGGATGGCCGGATCCTCTTTCCCTGTCCTTCGGTTCTTTCTTGCTTGCACTCCACCCCTTCCCTCGGTCCTCTTCCTGAATCCTGCTATCAGTCCGTCAGTTCCATCAGCTGGTTTTCTCCCCGTGATGGAGCTCAGGGCCTGGGTAAGGTCCGGTGAAAAGGACCTGGGCAGAGCTGGGGCGAAGGAAAGTGGCCCTCGCTGGTCTCAGGGTGAAGTAGCCACATGCGTGCGTGCTAAGTCGCTTCGGTCATGTCCGACTCTTTGTGACCCTGTGGACCAAAGCCCGCCAGGCTCCTCTGTCCATGGGATTCTCTAGGCAAGAATACTGCAGTGGGTTACCATGCCCTTCTCCAGGGGATCTTCCCTACCCAGGGATTGAACCCATAGTCTCTTAGGTTTCCTGCATTGGCAGGAGGGTTCTTTACCACTATCACCACCTGGGAAGCCCGAAGTAGCCACAAGGCAAATCAAATCTTTCTCCTACGAGGACCAGCCTTCACACTGTAAGTCCTGTGCTGGATGCTGCTCACAAGAGTTTCTGCTCTTGCCTTAGCTCCCCTCAAGATCCCCTCCCTTGACCCTAGCTTAGTGTGGGCTGGAGGTTCTACTCCGTCCCAGAGAAGAAGGAGAAGGGTAAATAGCCAGTGACAGCATTAGCCTGGTAGGTGCTGCCCTGGGAGTGGATGCTGGCCCCAGTGGGGTCCACGTTTCCTAGGGGATCTGGGAATGGTTGCAGCGGGGACTGCCGACTTCCTGGTCTGAAGGATGGCGGCGGGGCGGGGGGGGGGTGTAGTGTGGGGGTGTGTGGAGTGAGCCAGATGGCAGTGAGGGAGGGGAGGAGAGAAGGGCAGCGTGTACCAGGCAAAGGGAACAGGCAGAGGCAGCCTCCAGCAGGGCCTTGCATGGGCCAAGGAGGGGCCTCTGGGGCTTGTCTCTGGTCCCACTGAGTCAGAGCCCAGGGCCAAGACTGCTCCAGGGGCTTGCAGAGGCGGGGATGGTGCTGGTGATGGAGATCTCGCCCCCACCGCCACCCCTGCCTTCCTCTCTCCTCTATCCTTCCCTCAGCTGGACCTCCTTTCTTCTCTTTGCAGAGCCCGGAGTTCCTGCTGAGGACGCATGGACCCATCTTTCGCAGTGCCAGGCAGGGTGGCTGAGGAGGACTTGACCTGGATGCTGGGGGTCCACTTGCATCCACACCACAAACGTTTAAGGAGGCTTCCCGTGGCACCTGTGCCCAGATGCAGGCGGTGCCCAGAGGAAGAGAACAGTGCTGGGCACCCTCCAGGAGCTCTCTGCCCAGCGGCAGGGAAAGCCCTGAAAGAAGAACCCTGGTCTTGAACTCCCCGATCTGCTCCATCCCCCATCCCCATCCACTCCCTTGCCTCCATCCCTCCCCTAGGTCACCCCCATCCCAGGCTTTTTTTTGTGTTTTGGAGAAGTCACCAAACCAGGATGTTAAATCCCAGCCCCCTCCTTCGTACCCTCCCTGGCTTTATTTTAAACTTCTGAGGCCTCTCAGGCAAGCGGAGGAAGTGACGAGATCCCCGTGGTGGGCCACGGAGGGTGATGCTCTCAGCCCACCAGGCCTTCCTGTTTCAGTCCCGACCCCTCCCACACTCTGTCCCTTGCTTCCAGATGCTCAGGATGACAATAGAGGAAATGGACGTCTTCTGTTTGAATATCCCAGAATACAGTGCTTCTGTCTCCTCCCAGCGGTCCAGCTAGCTTCCCTCTGGACCAGCAGGAGAGGGGGAGGCGAGAGGGTTTGGGACCTTTGGCTGGGAAGCCACTGACCAGGCGGCCAGGGAGTGGGGGGGGTGGTGTGGGGAGAAGGGCTGAGGGGCAGTTAGGATGGCGCTGTTTCTGAGGGCGCCTGAGCCTGAGGCTGGCATCACACGTGGGGGCTTTGAGCATACTGAGGGTGAGGAGAGGTCGCCCTGCAGGAGCCATGGGGCCGGGGAGATAAAGCCCCAGGATGCCCCGGGAACTGGTTTGTCTGCTTCCGCTCCCAGGGGCCACCGCAGGCTTGGGGGGGGGAGGGCGGGGTGGGATGGGGCGGGTGCTGAGCATGAAAGCCCAGACAGATTTCGCTGGGGCAGACTCTCAGGCCCATGCTGAAGACAGGCTGCTTGTCAGCCAGCGTATCCCAGGGAGAGGGGAGCAGGTGTGGGGCTCCCGCTGGGCTGTGATAAGCTCCTCGGCTTGCTTGGCAAGAGCCGGTCTTTGCATGTAGCCCCTTTCCGATGTGCTGTGTACCATGCTGGATTCCCGGTCCCTGGTGCTGGCTGGGGGTGGGTGGGGGCTGAGGGCTGTGGCCTCGGCCCGGGGAAGGATGGAGGGCCAGTGGTCCAGGCCCCTTTGAGCCGGGGGAAGGACGTGACCAGGACATCTAAACCAAGCTGGAGGGGAGCAGCTGCTTTTCTGTCTTTGGTTCTCTGCTCCTTGGGGCGGGGGTAGTCTGGCCTCCCCACCCGGGCTTGCTCTTTGATTTGAAGTTTGTTTCTGATGGGGTCAGCTTTCCCTTCCTCCCTCAATACTTGGGAACCTTCCCTCTGGCTCCACACTTACTGTTTCGAGCACCGCTGGGGCCTCGAGGTTGTTGGATTGCATTTCTGCCGAGAGGAGCCTGTGGGTTCTGCCGTCCTCCAGCGGCTCCACCATCGTGTGTGGGCTTTTCTGGACTCTTAGGGCAAGAGGGAGGTGGGCTGGGGGCGCTGCTCAGGGGAGACGGGCTCCAGGCCTGGGCTCTGAGGTCGCTGTCCCGGGTTTTTGGTCTGGCTCAGGGTTGGGGATAAGCCTCTGGCTGTCAGGGCTCCTGGGTGGGGCCTTGTTTGGGGGTTGTTATTTGGGGTGAAGGTTCAGGAAGCTGCCGTCTACGCAATAATAAACTTGCATCTGCTCACAGGCTCTGCCTGGGCTGCGGGGTCTGTGTGTGGGCTCTGGACGGGGTACTGGTCTGAGGAGGAGGAGGGAAGCTGAGGACCCTGGATCATGCTGGGTCAGGCTCTGTCTCTCTCTTAAAAGTTTCCATAATACCTCCTGTGTGTGCGTCTGCTCAGTTGTGTCCGACTCTTTGCAACCCCATGGATTGTAGCCCACCAGCCTCCTCTGTCCACGGGATCAGCTCGGCAGGAATACTGGAGTGGGTTGCCACTTCCTCCTCCAGGGGATCTTCACAACCCAGCGATTGAACCCATGTTACCTGTGGCTCCTGCATTGGTAGGCAGATTCTTTACCACTGCGCCGCCTGGGAATACCTCCTGAGGGGTGGCTCAAAGGCTTCAGTCCTGATGGGCTCCCCAAAGGCCACAGACTTTCTAGGGAAGACCCTGAGTTTGTAAAGCAGACTTCTAAAAGATTCCCTGAGCAGCATATAGCAGAAGAGCGAGCTTGTCTTTTGGAAAAAATCTTTGGTCACCTACCCCACTGGATCTTAGTTCCCCAGTCAGGGATGGAACCTGTGGCCCCTGCTTTGAGAGTCTTAAACCACTGGGCCTCCAGGGAAGTTCCAAAAGAGCCTGTCTTTTGAGATTGGCTCCCCTAGGCTCTAGTCCTGTTTAGGATACTTATTTCACTTCTCCGAGTCTAAATTTCTCATCTAGAAAACAGAAAATACTACTACTACCTCCTGGAGTTGCAGTGAGGATAACTTTAAACATTGAAGCTTATGAGAAGCCCAGCAGTTGAGAGTGGTGAGAAGTGGAGACTTCCCGTTTGGGGGTCATTACTGCTGCTGCCCTGCAGTACAGTCATTAGCCCTCTCACAAGCCTCTTGCATTTTAGTTGAGACCCCAGAAACCTCAAAGGGGTGGAGATGATTCAGGCTCCTGTCAGAAAGTCACAGAGCGTCTCAGTCAAAGGAAGGACCTAGAGGCCATCATCATACTCTCCAGAGGCTTAGACAAGAGAAGAGACCTGCCCAAGGTCACCCAACAAGCCAGGGGCAAGAAAGCACTTTCTTGACTTATTTTTGAGGATAAGTCAAGCCAGCAGCCCTTATGAGATAGTTGGAGGGGAGGGTCCCTCACCAGTCAGTAGGAATGTTCAGGCAGGTTCCGGAGTGCTTCGGTGCTCAGGAGTCCTGGTTCTCTGCCCAGCGTCATCACTGACTTACTGCAGGCCAGACACCCCCTCTTTCTGGGCCTCAGTTTCCTCTTTTGCCAAGGAGACCGTCATCCCTGCCCCTTTACCTTCTTTACAGGTATCGCAGTTTTGAGCATCCGATGAGGTAGCTCATGAGTGGTAGAGAGATTGGCAAAACCCTGGAATAATCCAGGGA